CCCCTTTCCCCCTTCAAATCGGTGCCAGATTCCTTCAGAGTTACTACAGCTAGTTTGTCCAGAGAGTCTCAGCCTCCTGGGCTTCTGTGGACGTCTGACCCAGGATTCTTAGGCTAGGAATATTTTTAGGTTACTTTCAGCTGCTTTTGTCAATGTAGGCCTAGGCAATGTTCCATTTGGTTACTTCAGAGCCTCAAGGTCCTCTCTTTTAAACTCATTCCTGTAGAGTCCATTCCAACTCTTAATGAATCTGTTATAGCTGTTAAACAAGACGAAGGATTTCTAAGGCTGCAATCTTTATGGAAGTGGATTTCCATGTCTTTCTCCTTGGTGGGTTCAAGACACTGATATTTTACTTAGCAACTTAGTGCTTAACCAACTGCACCACCAGGGCTCCTTTCTACTTCTAAGAATCTTGTTTAAGTCCTGTCCCACTCCTGCAAGGATAACTCCTAGGCCTACCTTGGAAGATACCTTCAGATTTTCAGCTTCTTTTCTGCTGATCCTTTTGGATTTCTTGTTCAATGCTTCAAAGAGAGATAGAAGAAACTAAGCAAGATGTTTCAGGGGATGACAGCGAAGCAGAAGGAGAGACTGGGAAAGCCGTAGGGTGGGTGGGGTAGGGAGCAGGCTGGCTGAATCACGTCTTGGGACACAGGCTAGCAGTTTCTTTTCAGCCTGGCTGCTAACCTGGAGCCAAAGATTCCAACAAAGTCGCTTCTTAAGGAGGGCAAATGGGAAATCCAAGGAAGCCCTGAGATCTGCCTCTGGCATCCATGTAGGGCTTCAAGCTAGTTGGTCCTGTGTCACTTAAAGTCACTCTACACTTTCTTTCAATCTCCATTCTTGGCAGAGACAAGGACATTGGAATACCCTAAACATAGGCTCAGGCTCTTGAACATGATGGGTTTTCTATATTCCCATTTTTCTTTTCTTAGTGCTTTGAAGTTAGGCTTGTTTGATATGAATCCTGATTCTATCATTTAACAGAACTGTTTGGTCTTGGGGAACAGTTGTTTGCATCTGCAAAATGAGTACTGTAATACTCACCTTGCATGAGTATTCATTTTCTTGATGATCTAAGTTTATAAAGTGAAAATCTGGCAAAACAGTAGCAACCAATGAATATTGATTCCTTCCCTCCCCTTCCTTCCTTGATCTGCCTAGATTATCCCCTCTTCCTAGTGAGAGATAAGGCAGTAAGCTTTAGGTTTAGGAGTTAAATTCGTGAGTTTGAATTCTGGCTTTGTCACATAATGACTGAAGGACCTATGTTAACTCTCCTAGCCTCAGTTTCCTCAACTGTGAGATATGAATAAAAATAGTACTCACTTCACAGAGTTACTTGAAGATTAAATGAGATCATCTGTCTAATTCAGTACCATGCCTAGCACACAATCCATTATCAGGTGAAGTCAAACTCAGAAGATTTGGCTTGCCAGGCTCTACTGTTCATAAAATTTTACCCTGAGCCATCATTCCCAACCCTGGAGTGGCAAGGCTGGTTCATTCTAGGCTTACTTAAATTCTGTAGCTTTTTCCTAAAGTTTATTACTGTTGAAAGGGGCTCTGTGAGGCAATACATGTCAGAAATTCTAAATTAAACCAAACTCACCAACTGCAGGCTTCTTAGTCTCTAATATGCTAACTTAAAAATGAAATTGGTGATGTGTAGGGTTTTCCAAACCCAAATTATTAAGAATACTTTATTCTCCCAGGATCATCTCATGGAATGAGCAGAAGGCAACCCTGGCTGCATGGCAGTGGATCCTAGTGATCGTCTAGGGAGCAGGCCAGATATGCTGAAGCTCCTCCTGTGGATCAGAGTCTAAAAGCTGGGCTCCAGGCCAGGCGACTTACCCACAATAGAGACAGAGGGGAAATCGAATAGGTTCACGGAGGAGTTGTTCATCAGGCTGCTGTCATCTCTGGGTTTCTCCTCTAGTGCCAGGTGGCTGTGGGCAGTGAGGAAGCCCAAGAAGAGCAGCAGAGTGGCCAGGAGCAGGCGGGTGACATCCATCCTGAGAGACCTGCATGGGAAGGGCCAGGGAAGATGAGGGGAGTAGCAATAAGCTGCGCCTCTTGCTTTCTTGTGCTGCTTTGGCTCATGTCCTGACTCCATCAAAAAATGATCGGGCAGTGCTACAGGAATAGTAAGGTTTATGGCCGGGAAGAGGAATGAGAGAAAAACACCAGGATAGGAGGAATATTGAAGAAAACAATGCACTGTATTAATTGATCTTTGTCATTCCAAGAGTTGGGCACTCTTTCTATAATGATGTTGCCGACTGGCACAATGGTTAGGGTTTTCATTTTCTTGATGTTGAGATGTAATCCATATTGAAGGCTGTAGTCTTTGATCTTCTGCAGCAAACACTTCAAGTCCTCCCCACTTTTAGCAAGCAAGGTTATGTCATCTACATAATGCAGGTTGTTGATAAGTCTTCATCCTGATGCTACATTCTTCTCCATAAAGTCTGGCTTCTGGAATTATTTGTTCAGTGCACAGATTGAATAGATATGGAAAAAGGATACATCTCTGATGAACACCTTTTTTTTATTTTAAATCATGCGCTCTGTCTTTGGTTAACTTGATCCCGGAGGTTAAGCATCCCTGCTGAGCCACTAACCAAAAACTTACAACTACAATTGAGTCAGCCATCATCATCACCATCACAATGCAAATGTTTTCTTTCTTTCTTTTTTTTTAATTGTCCTCTCCTCTCTTTGAGCTGCAATTCTTTTTTTTTTATTATTTTAATGAAAGTTTACAGAGACTTTGGATTTCCAGCCATTCATTGTTGTACTTTTCTCCCTGCCCACCCTTCCCCACCAGTTCACTCTTCTTTTGGAAAAGTAAAAGAATCAATCTAAAATAATATTTATTTATACCTAATCATATATCCCTTTTAAACAGTTCTCTCCATAATCTGTTTTAATGCAGTATACATAATTTACCCCCTCTTTCTTCATCTCACCCCAACCCTGATGTCAGTCCCATTTTACAACAGTGGCACTATGCAGTATTTGTCCTTTTGTGATTGAGATATTTCACTCAGCATAATGTCCTCCATGGTCAGCCATTTTGTATAAGATATCATGAGTTCCTTGTTTTTCAATGCTGTATAATATTTCATTGTGTGAATATACCACAGCTTCTCTAGCCATTCATTTGTTGATGGGCACTTAGGTTATTTCCAACTCTTTGCTATTATGAACAAAGTCGTGATAAACATGGGTGTGCATATATCTGCTTGGGTGGCAGTTATGGTTTCTTTGGGGTATATTCCCAGTAGTGGAATTGCTGGGTCAAATGGTATTTCTATTTGCAACTTTCTGAGAAAACACATACAGCTTTACATAGTGGTTGCACCATTTTACACTCCCACCAACTGTGAATAAGGGTTCTAGTTTCTCCACAACCTCACCAGTATTTGTTGCTTGCTGTTCTGTTAAATTTTGCTATTCTGACTGGGGTGAGATGATATCTCATGGTTGTTTTGATTTGCATCTCTCTTAGAGCTAGGGATTTTGAACATTTCTTCATGTGCTTGTTGGCCATCTGAATGTCTTTTTTGGTGAAATGTCTGTTCATTTCCTGTGCTCATTTTTCAATTGGGTTGTTTATCTTGTTGTGGTATTCGAGTATTTTATAAATTCTAGATGTAAGTCCCTTATCTGACATATCATTACCAAATATTTTTTCTTAGTCTGTGACTTCCCTTTTTGCTCTGTTGGAGAAATTTTTGGATGTGCATAGAGATTTGATTCTTAGAAGGTCTCATTCATCTATTTTATCCTCTCCTGATTGTAGTTGCAAATGTTTTCTAATTGGCTTCCATGCCTTCATTCTTGTCATGTTCTGCTTACTCTCCATATAGCGGCCAGTATGAATTTCCCCTCACTCCCTGAGAAAATGGTTCAAATCATACCGTTCCCTGCTTTAAAACCTTTCATCACTTCCCATTGCTTTTGAAATAAAATGAATCTCCTGTGAAAACTTGTCACCTTCTCCAACCTCATCTGATATGATTCTCCCTCTCAATTACTTTATTCCAGAAATTCTGTGCTTCTTTCTATGCCTGATGTTGTTATGTGCTGTCGAGCTGCCTGTGACTCATAGCCACTCTATGCACAATAATTTGGAATGCTATTCTATCCTGAGCCAGTGTCACTGTCTCTGACACACTTATCCCCATTACCCCAGTTACTGTCAATTCATCTCATCCAGGGGTGTCCTCTTCTTGACTGTTTCTCCATCCTTTTAAGCATTATGTCTCTCTCCAAGGACTGGTTTCTCCTGGCAACATGCCCAAAATATGTGAAACAGAGCCTCAAGATTCTTCCCTCCAAAGAGCAATTTGGTTTCATCCTCTCCAGGACAGACCTGTTCTCTTGGCAGTCCATGGTATGTTCAATACCCTTCTCCAGTACCACAACTCAAAGGCATCTATTCTTCTTCTATTGTCCTTAGTCATTGCCCAGTTCTCTTATGCATAGTCAAGTAATTGTGATGACCATGGCCTGGATTAGTTGCACCTTAGTCTCTAGACTGACACTGTTGTGCTTCAGCATTCTGAAGAGGTCCCTGATTTTCCTAATGCAATTCATCTTTCGATTTACTGACTGCTGGTGCCAAGAGTGTTGATTATGGAACCAAGCAAACTGAATTGTTAACAATCTTAATCTCTTCTCCTATCTATCATGGTGCTGGCCAATTGGCGCAATGATGAGAATCTTTGTTTTCTTGATGTTGAGCTTCAATCCATATTGAAGACTGCAGTCCTTGATTTTCTACAACCAACACCTCAGGTCCTCCTCAGTTTCAGCAAGCAAGGTTGTATCCTTTGCATAACACAGGTTGTTGGGAAGTCTTCCTCCAACCCTGATGCCATATTCCTCCTCTTAAAGTCCAGAATATGCCATTCTCCCCCGCCCCCGATCTCAGGGTCTTTATATCTGCTGTTTCCTTTACTCTAAATGTTCTTTTTCTGGCTTTGAACTTGATTCCTTTAGTTCTTCATGACAGTATCACAGACTACTTTTGGGTCTTCTCATACCTTCTTTGGCTACTCAAAAAAATGTCCTTCCCTAGTTTCCTTTTTTGGGTCATAATCTTGTTTGCTTCATAGCATGTATCAAAATTTGCAATTATCTTTGGGTTAACTTTCTCTCTCATACAGAATCAAAACTCTGTATGGGTAGGGACCATACTACCTCACTTTCTTCAAATACCAAGATATGCCTAACACAAAGCAGGCTCTCAGTAAGAATTTAGTGAATGAATAAATGGGTAGAAAAGGAAACCAACTCAGAAAATTCTCAGCTTTGTTGGTTCCAAGTCAGATTCAGTGGGAATTCAATGTACTTTCCATGACTTTTGTCCTGCCATATACTGGAGTCTGGAAAACTCTCCTTAGCTTCATCAGCTTCCTTTATGTGAAGTATGAGTTGCTGAGTGCTATGTCAGGTTTAAGAATATGACTTTTCTCAACATTTTTTATCTTGTCTCTGACCAATAAAGGTAAAAAAATATTATCTAGTTTGTGGATAAAAGTGACTGGCAAAACTGTTGTAGAATGGGACTGTCCTTGGGGTTGGGGAGAGACTGAGTAAGATGGGTTCAATAATGTATACTGCACTGAAACAGAGGAGGGAGAGAACCGTCTAAAAGAGAGATGTAACTGGGTATTTCTGTCATCACAGGAGACTAGAGCGAGGGCTGCATGGTGGAGGGGACCTGGGGGAGGGTTTGTAAAACAATGAAAGAATCTTTTCTTTTACTTTTCCATAATTTTTGGACTCATGTACTTATAACTTGTTAGTCAAATTTGTGTCTTCTAGGTTGCAACACCCCCATGATACATCTTCAAGGATATGTACATGTACAGCCAAGCACAATCAATAAGAGTGCATCTGAATTCCAAAATCAATCTCCATAATAGTCTATGTGTTTCCTACTGCCAAAGGGGCCCTTTAGAGTAGTGAGAGAAGATCTTCACCCTGAAACCCACAGCGTCCCTTTTCAGCAGGAAGTAGCTAAGAGAATACGCCGTCCCCTTTTCCTTATGACTCAGGGTGAAGTCTCTCTCAGGGAGGAGTGATAGGGAATGGCAAAGGATACACTGACAAAGAAGATTAATCAGAACTGGCTTTGACAAGCACTGTGGCATTTGGACAAGAACAAACTGGGAGGAGGGTAGAGAGAATAGTGCAACAATGAATGAGTGGAAGCCCAAAATCTCTGTAAATGTTTATGAAAATTAATAAAATATAATTCTAGAAAAAAAGTGACTGGCAAAAAGGTGGAGCTGCAGATATAATCATAGGGCTTTAGAAGTGGAGGCACTTTAGGTATCATCTTGTCTAAGAAATTGATTCCTTTGACTGTCAAAATAACATATATGTCTTAAAGAAAGTGCACCCAGAGCACTCTTTAGAGGAAGGATGGGGAAATTTCATTTCATATACTTTGGGCATGTCAGAGAGGAAGACTCTCAACAAGATGGATTGACACAGAGACTGTAACAAAGGGCTCAAATATATCAGTGATAATGAAGATGGCATAGGATAGGGTGAGGTTCAGATCCGCTGTTCATAGGAGTCACTTTGAGTCATAGTCGACTTGACGGCACTTACCACCACCACCACCACAACCACCACTAAAGCAAATGCATCAGAATTGTTGGGGGATATTTCCCCCTCTGCTAATACTACTTAGTTGTTGAACAAAAGATTTGAACCTTTTTCTATCCTGCGCCATCCCCACACTTCCTGACACATCAGATCACATTGCAGCAGGCACCATGTCAATCCATCTGGTTGAGGGTCTTCCTCTCATTTGCTGACCGTCTACCATTCCTATAATCATGACCCTCTTCAAGGAATCCTAGCAACATGCCCAAAGTATGTGAGGTGAAGTCTCATTCTTGCCTCCAAAGAGCACACAGGTTGCACCCTCTCCAAGACATATCTGTTCTTTTGGCCATCCATGGGATGTTCAGTGCTCTTCTCCAACAC